AATTCTGTAATATTTTTTTTTTTTTTTACTTATTTATTTATTATTATTATTATTATTATTTATTTGGGATGACGTGATGTGAATAGTATTGTAGTGATGTGGACAAATTGTGTCCAAGTAAAATGGCTTTATTCCAATTTTTTGTTCAGCAAAAAAGAAAAGGAAAAATGAAAAGGAAAATGTTGCTCCTGCGTAAGGATTCAGCAATAATTTTGTGTGGGTTCTTTCTTGCTTCAAGACTCAAATTCAATGGGGAATTTTAGATCATCATATACTGAAAATTTATGGCAAAAAACCGGAGAAGGACTGGATTTTTTTTGGGAGGGATGAACATATATATAATGTAGTGATATATATTCATGAAAAATGGGAGAAATAAATATGGAGAAAATTGGGATGAAATACAAACTTGGTGGAAAATATATTTTTCGGTGGAGATGCATTTTCCGGAGAAAATTGACTCTGAGCAAATTACGGAGCCCCTTCTTCTAGTGCCAATTTATTGATGTAAAAAATCGGACGATCAACACGTCAAATATGAGTCGAATTTCTTGAATGAAAAATAATAGTTAGATGACAAAAATAGGTGTTTTCTCTTATTTTCTTTGGAAGAGTTCTTCCCTCTTCTGGTTCTTGGAAGAGGAGAAAACAAAAATGAAAAGTGTCCTTCTCTTTTCTCCTCACCACATATATATACATGTGAATTAAATAAATAGATAAAAATAGTATACTAGCATTCCTTGTTTACCAAGCTAAGTTCAGGTCTCTAAATATTCTGAAAAGTCCACAAGTTCTTCCCTTTCCAGATCCACCACAGAGTGTATGTAGTAAGATGAATTCTGTCAGCTGAGATTGAAGAGGCTTTGATGGAGCAGATATGGGTCCACCAGCTCTTGAAAGATAACTAGTATTCGACCTGTGCATTTGCACAGATATAAATAAATTATTATGAGTCTGTATGCATATAATGATTAATTATCTTTCTTTCACTTTTTTGCAGACCAAATTTACAATTAAAAGAGTTGTAATATTTTTTTTTTTAAATTGCGTTTATCTGATTGGATATAATGTATATTTTGGTACGTCTTTTATTTGTGAATTATTTCTTATTTATTTAGGAATTTCAAATATATTTTTTATTTTAAAAAAAAATTAAATGTAACAACAATAATAACATCTAATCACATTATACGGTCAACACATTATATGGTCAACTATCATTAATCAAAAGTTTAAAATGATTTTTGTAATTTTGAAGTGATGCGTATTAATTATTTAATGATTAAATGAAAGATTAAATACATCAAAATGTAACGGTTTTTGGAGGAAAAATTGTTAAATTGGCACATAGGTAAAATTAAATAGGTTTTATTAAATTCTATTAGCTAGTAATTATATATATATAAATTTATTATTATAATTATAAACTTTTATCTTATATGTATCTATCTGTGCACAACCTAAAGTTCTCTCAAAATTTCAGTAAACAAATTTTGTACTTTAATTAAATTCCTTCACAATTTTTAAATTGTCTCATATTTTTTTTTTTCAAAATTAGTTTCTTCTTTTTTTTTTTCTCTATTTTGGGCAGTTTTCATTTTTATTATCAATTTTTTTTTTCCTAAATATTTAATTTATTTATTATATTCGAAGGAATTAACAGGTCAGCCGTCAGAAGCAGAGTCCCAGCCTTATTTGCTTACCGTCGTGCAATCGGACCAGTTTTAACCTTTAAGTCGGACTGTGGTGTTCGACACTGGGAACTTCGATCCGAGGTTAGCTCGTTTTCTGGACCAGAAGAAAACAAAAAGAAACTGACGTTTGTGAAATATTTCATTAGATTTCTTTTGGCAATTAGAGATTTCCTCTTCTGTTTGCAGTATCTCATGAGCATCCCTGTTTCCAATTCTTGTATTAATTTGATTATTCATCCAATCGGAAGAGATAATTCACCTGAAAATATTTCAGTTTTTCCTCCGAGTCTTATTTGCTTTTCATTGATTCTATCTCTTTCTATTCAAATCACACCGTTCAGTAAGGTATCTTTTGCGGGATTATTTGGTATAATAAAATGTCAATATATTTTTTTCTGTAGAATCTTATTTTTTATTTCTGTCAGGCAGTGAAGGTTTAGATATTAAAGTGCTGGTTTCATATGGAGGCGGACAGGTAATTTTATTAATCTTTCAGTGAGAAGAAATTTATTTTTCATATTTATATAAGCTGGGTTGGACGATTCCTAGTTTAACTTTGTGCTGAGTTGAGTGGACTGTATTATTGTTCTGTAGCTTGTTAAATTTCTTGTTGAACCATTCTTTTCTTCGCCTTTTGTTATTAATAATCGCTGTTGCAATAATCCACTGTGTATAGTGTCTTGTTATTTATCAAATATTGTGTTGGAGAATTTATAAAATTTAATTTTGACGAGAACCTGGGCTTCATTTAGCAGTAAGGGCATGAAATATTTTTCTTTATTTTTATTTTATCCCTTTTTGGATAGCTCTGTACACTGCATTCTCATGTTTGTTGGTGTGTTTGAAGCTGTTTTAGTATATTGAAACAGGGATCGTAATATCTGCTTCTCTGGTAGCTATATCTTATCCTAAATTTACACTGATTGATTAATGAAAGTTAAGCTTTTGGTGTCCTATTTTCAGTTTTCTGTTTCGTTTGATTTCATATACTCGTCAAATGATACAATTGTTTTGTTCATTTGATCTCCTTATTGCTTTGGAAAAATTTGACTGCGAGCTCTATAAAAATTGATCTTCTTGTATATATCAAGGTTATAACTCCATTGAGACTGTATTTTTATGCTTTTTCAGGCTCAATTCTCCCCACACATCAGCAGTTGTATTTGAAGTTCTTGGCCATCAGCTTCAGTTTGCTCAGGTATTACAACAGATTTGTCTGAGCTCTTGTTTTGATTTCTTTGGTTTAAAAAAAAAAGAGATGAAAAATACTTTTGGTGGCATTTTATGTCATCTACTTTTGTATTCAAATAGTTAGGATGCAGCATGAGATTACCTCTAACCTACCATCTATTCATAAAGAATTCAACTTCTATAGTAAAAGGAGAATTTTAAGGCCCTTGTACTTTTTGTAGATTACCTTTCTATCATTTTTGAATAATTGAAAAGGCATCATCGCCAAATATTAAAAAAATAAAAAACTCATCTTTTGCCGTGCAATTAGAATGACAAGTTTTTATAAGCATGTTCATTACTTACAAATTCATTAACCTTTTTCGGGGGCTTTTTACCCTTACTAATGATTAAATTAAATGAAAATATTTTCATCTGCCTCATTCTCAGTGACAAATGTGCTGTAACTATCGCAGGATCCAAATTCTAAACACTTAGGGACCACCGTGTGGGATGCGTCAATGGTATTTGCCAAATTTCTGGTAAAAGTGTTTTTGTGTTTTGTCAATTGCCCTTCCTTCTTTCTTTCCTTAAGAAAAAAAACAGTGATTCTTTATATAATTCTTATTACGTTATGGGTTACTATGGTTGAGGATAATTACCTTCATGTTCATATCCAGTTCGACGACCAATTCTAACATTGTTTGAATTTTTGAGATATTTTGGCCCATCTTTTGTTATAGCTTAATTAACGCATTTTTTATCAATTATGAAGGAAAAAAATTGTAGAAAGGGAAGGTTTTCACCATCTAAATTGAGAGGGAAACGTGTGATTGAACTTGGAGCAGGCTGCGGGGTAGCTGGATTAGGTAAATCCGTCTTAATTACATGTAAGTAAATGTGGAGGTTTTCAGAATAGAGGCTAAACAATTGAAGGGATAATGTTATTCAGGCATGGCCTTGCTAGGGTGTGATGTTATCTCGACAGATCAAGCCGAGGTTTTACCCTTGCTTATGAGAAATGTGGAACGCAATACTTCTAGGATCTTGCAAATGAACCCTGCTCCTGGTAAATTTACATTAGCATATCACGTCTCCTTTTGGTTTCTTGATTGTCTTTCAGATTCTTTTCCTGCAAAAATTACAATTTATATCCTATCCATTTTCGATTGATTTTTTTGTTTTAAATTTTTCAGAACAGGATGAAGGAAACAATATTTTGAAATTGTAAAAACATGGTTGAGGCATTACACATACCTGCGATTCGTAAATGGGAACCTATATTTGGCTATTACAATTTGAGAATGTTAGAGTTATAGATTCGGGGTAAGGGTGAAGCCTAGTTGCAACCTCCCAAAATCAATTTGTAATGGAAGGAGTGGTCCACTAGACTTATAAACTAGAGTCATTTGCCCAATGTGGGACAACTCACAAGCAATGGAATTTCCAACAGAGAAAAAGCTAAGCTTTTTACCTTTTACTTTTTATTTTATTTTATCAATTAGGCTACAACTACGGGCATCTGTAATTATCACTCCTACAAATTTTTGGCGCCTTGTCTCAACATATCTTCATTTGTGAGACAAAAGCTATATGTGATTATGAGTTCACTTTGATCATTTTTGCATTACATTTTTTGTAGATTACTTTGGTTCCATCCAAGTGGCAGAGCTTAACTGGGGAGATGCAGATCATATAAAGGCTGTGGGTCCACCGTTCGATTATATCATTGGCACTGATGTTGTGAGTCTCAAACTCCAGAGTGCTAACATCCACATTACTGTTGTTAAGCGATGTAAACTTTAAGTTATTATATGTGACACTTGAAAAGGGTAGTTCTAATTTTGACCATCTAATTTTTTTAACATGAAGCTAAATTTATGGGGCAGGTAGACTTATTAAGTATTCCCTATTTTCTGTCAAATGTTAAAACTACTCATACGGACATAATTTCTTCAATTATCTTTAATTGAAGCGCATTTTAAGAGGGCGGCTAGTTGCCATCTTAGTGAGGTTCCATCTCAAAATCAACTCAAAACCAACTGGTGGTGATGGGAGGAATGGCCTACTAGACTTTTATAAATTGGACCCATTTGCCCTGTAAAATCAATATGGGACAACTCATAGATGATATGCCAACATCATTGATTATGATTTCATAAATTTCTTACTTTGCGAGGTAGGTCCTTAAGATGAAGCTAAGTCTATGGGGAAGACTTGGTAATGATTCCTTCTTTCTGTCAAATGTTAAAACTACTCATACAGACATAATTTCTTCAATAATTCATTTATTATTATTTTCATAGATTTTTGACTTTCTGTGGTAGGTTTATGCAGAGCATCTTTTGCAACCTCTGTTGCAGACGATACTTTCATTATCTGGTCCCAGAACCACCATTATGGTATTGTGCTTGCGAATTTTGTGAACTTATTTAGAGCAGACTATTCCCCATTTTTTTTTTTATTTTTTATTTTTTATTTTTTATTTTTTAATCTTGTCTTTCTTCAGTTGGGATATGAACTTCGTTCCACTAATGTCCATGACCAAATGCTCGACCTGTGGAAGATAAATTTTGAGGTTAAAAGTATTTCTAAGGCAAAGGTATGTAAATGCATTCGGATATACATGTTGTCTGTGACGTTGATCACTAGTAAGTGGCAGAAAAAAGTATACAACGAAAGAGAAAAATAGTTGCAAACAATGCAGTCATGTTTAGTTTAAGATTACAAGAACATGAGCACTACTTATATTTAGTTGCACAAATCACAACTACCAAGGAGGTTATTATAGAAGAAACGCTAATCTCAAGGCGGGGGTTGAAATTTAAATGATCTGATAAGTTTGAGTTTTTTACGTAGGTAGGCTAGATGTCAATCATCAGGAAAATGTGGTATGTATATTTGGAATAAACCTTTTATTATTATTATTATTATTATTATTATTATTATTATTATTATTATTATTATTATTATTATTATTATCCCGATTTTTGTGTAGGCGGCCCTTTTAGGCGCTCGAGCAATTAGGCTCCGTCTAAGGGGGCTAGGTGGCACATATGCAGTTGCGAAGTTAGTAGGTAGTCCAGGCGCATGTATAATTTTTTTTATATTTAGTAATTTTTTTAAATATAATAAAACAAATTTTGATTTTTACACATGAAATGTACAATAATTATAAAATATAAAAGAATGATTATGTAAAATTAATTTAATAACTATAAGTATATAATACCAATTTTGATTTTTTATTTAATCATACCAATTTGTATACTTTATATAATATAATTTGTAAGTTATACATGATTTTAAATATAAATATATTTTTTACGACGACTAATCCCGCACCTTTTAGAACCTTGATTAATAAAATAATAATGATAATAATAATAATAATATTTAGTGGTGTTTTTGTCTTTCTCATTGTCTCGAAAATCTTTTGATACTTGTAGATGCATAGTGAGTACCAACATCCGAGTATACAGTTATACATGATGAGTCGTAAACCTTCAGACTGCAAAGGCAATAACAACGAGCTTGATTGCCATGATGAAGATGTTAAGCCTGAGAAGACCAAACAAATATCTGGAGATGATGATGATGGCGACAATTGTGTAGTTAGTGAGTCTTACGACTGCAAAGATGATCATCAAACTCATGAAGAAGGAAGCAAACTAATTTTAGATCATAAGGGTAAAAGGATTATTAGCGAGTGGGAAGCAAGAAGATATGGAGCTATGGCTGCTCGGCTTCTTAAGGACGTAAAGATAACATAAATATATTGAGGTGGTGATATTGATCGACTTACTGTCTGTATTTGTTTTATCTGTGCTAAAAACACTCTTAACTTGTGCGTGTAGTTGTATTTCTATATTTTCGAGGGAGAAAATGTGCACATTTCTCAGTTCACTCTATTCCAAATTGCCTTGAATCAAGAGGTGATTACAAAATTAATTGATAGGAACTTGTCAATTTTGAGGAGCTGAAAAATGCAATCTTTTACGACAATGTTAAGCTGAGGGTTTCAACTAGATTGAGTTTGAGTAAGGGTTTCGATGCATTAGGGACATTCGGTTCGGTTTGGTTTTGATCGATTGAACAACCCTAATTACACTTATGCAATTTGGAACCTTTGTGGTACGGTCAAGGTCTTTCCTTTTTTCTCCCTCTAAAAAAGCTCTGCAAAAAAACCTACATGTTTGTTTATGGAATTTTTCAAAAAAATTTCAACATTTTAACTCAACCACTTTTATTAACTCAACTTTAACTCAACCTCACTATCATCAAAATTATCAATATAATTAAATAATATCAATCAATCATTCATACACACCACATCAACCTTAATTAACTATTCATCTATTCATATTATTTTAACTAACCATCACTTCAAATTTCTCTCTCCTATTTTTATATCAAATCAATTTTAATTATTTTAGTTTAAATATTATTTTAATATACTCACTAACAACTAACCATACCACATTTTTCAAAATTAACTAAACCAAATGTTGATGCACGAAATTTGATCAACATGGGGGGTTCAGAGCAATTTATTGTGTATTTTTTGTATTGGATTTTTGTGTGATTTTTGTATGAATAAATCTAGTGATTTTTTAAGATGAAGCTGTATTTTTGTGTGTACAGCATATGAAGAAGATGATGAAGAAGAGAGCAGTCAGGCACCACCTGTCTCTTTCATATCCAGAGAAGAAAATAATAAGATTATCCCCTCAGACTTATCTATCCAGGTCCATCATTAGGGATATATATATATATATATATATATATATATGTTTAATGGGCCCGATATTGTCACAAACGGTATTATTTAAGGCCCAAAAAAAAAAATAATTTATTTAATATATATCCACATGTAATATTATAATAGGCTAGGCCAAAATTTGGTATCAACACCAAATCAAAAAATCCAAACAAAATCAAAATTTTTTATGAACAAACATGCATCCCTTCTCTCCCCCCCTTCTTCGTCTCTTGTCTGTTGTATACTAAACGTAAATCATTATATCTTGGATATGTTTTCCGTAATCATAGGTATTAGCAGGATAATTTTTTCTTAATGAGAGCGTTATTTTAACATGCCCTAGCTCATCTTTTCTTTCGAGTTTGTTCTTCTTTTTGCTTTCTGTGATACTCTCATACCACTCTATACCATATTTGTGATTAGCAATTGTAGTAGTCCAAATGTGGGTTTAGTTGATACCACCCATATGAGTGCCACCCTTAACCGGTAGATGCATGTCACATATCCATTTAGATTAATCGTTTATAGCTTTATTTATATAATAATGTTATTTTGGTACATGTGACATGCATCTTACCTGATTAAGGATACAGCCCATATGGGTTGCATCAACTAAACCCCAAATGTGGAGTCGTACCTGTAAGAAAAAATTGGTTTTGTACCGATTTAACGATCTTACTTTTCGTAAGTAAAAGACTTAGAAAATTCTCAAAACCTTTTTAAGTTGAATGGAAATTAATTCTAAGTCTTATATGTTAATTAATTGAGTTCAAATAACTCAAAGGTTGTAGGGTTCACAAACATTCTGTTTTGACAAATGTTTGGACGAACTAAACGAGTCATAATTATGCATTATGTATGCTAGAATTGTAGAAGGGCTCGTTAAGGACAAGTAGGAAAAAACAGAACTCGGTTCCGAGTCCGTATGAGCTCGTACGAGCCCGCGGCGCATGGGCGCGCAACTGGCTGCGGAAATCAAAGCGTCGCAACCCTGACCATAAGGTATCTTTTGGCCACTAGATGCATCCGTTCTCGTTCGGGCACGTCCAAAAGGTGTCTTTTGACACTTAAACCTCTTGGAGGTGTTTCTCTACATCTATAAATACCCACATACTTGAAATCATTAATTATGAAAATTAGAGAGCTCTTGCATTAGTTTTCAAAGATCATATAGCATAGTGCGTTCTTTGATTTTTTCATTGAGTCTTAAGAGTTCCAAACAATAGTAGTGTTCACCGAAGGCTTGTATATTTGAAGTACCACTATCTACAAATCGAAAGTCGTTGTATCTTGGAGGCGTTTGCCGTTAACCGTGGGTATTTGACGGGGTAATTTCGTCTTAAGGAGAACGTAATTATTACGTGCCTCGACTTTGATTTTTGTTTCATTTTCTTCATTCTCCTTAAGCCGTCTTTGATATTCACAAACCACACTAATAACAATCTTAAGACGAAATTATTTTTGAGTTCATAAGATGGCAACCGGAGGAAATCAAACGTCTTCTTAGTGCTCAACCGATGGTAGCTGCTCCCGTCCAAGGCGAGAGACCGCCGAAGTTCAATGGATCTGAAATTAAGAGGTGGCAACAAAAGATGCTGTTCTACCTCACAACTCTCTCCCTATCTCGTTTTCTTTCGGAGGACCCTTTGATCGTCCCCGAAAGTGAGACCGACGTGCAAAAGCGTACAGCCTCGGATGCGTGGCATCACAATGGTTTCTTGTGTAGAAATTATATCCTTAACGGACTAGACGACTCTCTCTACAATGTCTATAGTTCGATTAAGACGGCGAAAGAGTTATGGAACTCTTTGAAAGCAACGTACAAAATGAAAGATATCGACACTAAAACTTATTATCAGTAAATTCTTTTAGTACGATATAATTGAAACAAAGTTGGTGGTTAATCAAGTTCAAGAGATTCAAATCCTTCATGATATGATGGTAGAGGGATTGATTGTGAATGTAGCCTTTTAAGTGGAGGTTATTGTTGAAAAGTTGTCTCCTTTGTGGAACGACTGCAAGAGTTATCTCATGGATAAACTCAAAGATATGAAACTTGAAATTGAAAAGTTGTCTCCTTTGTGGAACGACTTCAAGAGCTATCTCATGGATAAAAGCAAAGAGATGAAACTTTAGGATTTCATAATTCGTCTTCAGATAGAAGAAGATAATCGAAAATCCGAAGTTTTGGTCAAATGGAGTGAGATAGAGGCTAAGGCAAACTTGGTCGAGCCGAGCTCGTGTAAGAAGTGTAGAAACGCTTTTCAGGACAAACCGAAATGGGACGCCTAGAAGTCCAAGGGATGCTGTTACGATGGTGACAAACCCGGGTATCTTGTCGAAGTTTACTAACTTCTGAAGAAGAGTAAAGGATAGTGCGAATTGTCGAGGACAAGATAATACTTGTCAGTGCTCGATCTTTCCGTCGTGGTTCGAGTACATACTTGATTAAAATTCCACGTTTATAGCGGATAAGAACAAGAGCCACTTGACCCATAGGCGCTTATAAATGTTGTCCTACAACCCTACTACGGAAGGAAGTATTTTTGGAATTCCTTGACTTCAAATGTTGAAGGAAATGACGAGGTAGTGTGCTAAGAATGAATATTGGAGATCGTGGATGTTCTTCATGCCCAAGACCCATAAGAATCTAGTTTTCGGACCATTAATTGAGTAAGACCGAATTTAGATTAGTTTATGATTATCGACAAATATGTTATGTCAAAATATGATGTATTCTTAGCATAAGTAGACCTTAATAAAGGTCATCTTACAATTATTGTAAAATTGTAATTTACTGGTTGATGAAAAGATAAATGAATTGGTCTTATTTATTGAGTGTTCTAATTTATGGTATGATAAATTAGTACTTGGAAATTTTAACACTAGAAGTTGGTGAATCTAAGTTGATTCATACAACAAATATGAAAAGTGTGTTAAAATGAAAAAGTGACAAAAGCATCGTATGAAATGATTGCTTAATTGACTAGTCCTCTCGAGATAAGTCACACCAGTAAATGTGATTTAATAGTTTGTGCAAACTCGAGTCGAAAATAAGAAAGCACAATGTATTGTCATAAAGCTTTTGTAGCTTTAAGCCACATATGAATGATGTTGATATTCAATGAAATAGTCGAAAGAAATATTCACTCTTAGTAGGTGATAATTCTTGTTCGTAAGCTTGATTTAAGCTAAATTCTTATGTGAGAATTAGTTATTTCGACAAAATTGCAAACACCACACGAAGGTAGATACGAAGCTCCTTTTATGTTATAAAAAGAGCAAAAGCATTCGTACCTATACCTTGAAATGTGGGGGTTTGTTCGGGCATTGAAAGCACCACACATAGGTAGATACGAAACTCCGTTTGAGTTATAAAAAGAGCAAAAGCGTTCGTACCTATACCTTGAAATGTGGAGTGTTCGGTCCAAGGTAGAAATACCTAAATAATGGAATGAAAAATTTGTTGAAATAATTTTGTCTCAAATTCATTGAATGAAAAAATGAGTCTATAAAGGTTCTTCCGACTCTTTGTGATCGTAAGTCTTATGTAGACAATATGATTATCTTGGAATATAATCATGATGTGTTCATGAATACCCATAAGATAAACTTTGACTTTTAAAGTTTGTGACATTCCAATGTAATTTTGGAGATTAAGTTTCTAATAGATCGGAAGTAATTGTTTGACACAATCTCATCATGTCAAATGTATGTTGAAGAGGATCGATGTGTTCGATAAAACCTCAAGCTAAAGAGAATGTATAATTGACTCTATACTTAGCTAATAATTCGAGAATAATTAGTTTCTCGGAAAAACTATGTTGAATAATTGGAGCTTGAGGTACTTGTCGGATAGTACTCGCTCCAATGTTGCATTTTCGCGAGCAAACTAAGATGTTCACGAGTAGCTCGAACGATGAATTTTGATCATACTGAATAGAGTATTAGACAAGAAAAACTCTAAGACAAAAAGTGACTAGGTGTTCACTTTAGATGGGTAGAGTTGTGTCATGAAAATTATCTAAGTATAAAACTAGATCCACAATAATGTCCGAATTTATAAATTTGGACTAAAGGCATGGAAGAAGCTAATGACTTAGAAATTTTCTAAAAGATATTTCTAGGTGGAATAAATTGTGCTCATGGAGATGATTATTTATCAATCAACAATTGGAAGAGTACAAAGTAGTTTGTACAATAGTAAGTCTAGACATAGATGTCGGAGACTTAATTCAATAAGAAAATTATCTTGTATGGAGGTTATATCGGTTGACTATGTGTAGTCAAAGATAAACCTAACGGATCCGTTTACATAAAGCATGAAACGAGATGAATTGTACAAACTGGTTAGGGAAATGAGCTTAATAAAAATCCACAACAAACGAACGGTCTTAGCGGTAACCCAACATGAGAAACGGAGATCCCGAAACCTTGGTTCAATGGAAAAACTAAGTTTGGACAGTTCAGTGAAACACTTGAAAATTTTTGCTCATTTCTAGAACCGTCAAGTGTTAAAATCTGCCTAAGTGGTGAGGCTAAGTCAAGGACTTTTAATGATTTCTATACCTAAGGGTGGAGTAAGGCAGGATACTCATTATAGGAGAATCACCTTTGTAAGTGAGAAGTAAATAGGCCGCTTCAACGAACACTTACTAAACCGAGATATGGTCCAAGGCCAAAATGGACACAACGTGAGAACAAGAAATTGTTAGAGCTATTGTTGTGCGAGTACTATTGTCTTGGTGCACACAAACAGTCGGTAAGTTCAAAGCATCGCGCTACTAACCGGCTAGTGTATCCGATAGTATTTCACTAAGGAAGATTCAAAGCCACAAGCTATCTATCCTGATGCAATGACGGTTCGCCAGAACTCTCAAGTATTGCATACATGCATTAATTTCATTCATGTGGGGGATTGTAAGAAAAAATTGGTTTTGTACCGATTTAACGATCCTACTTTTCGTAAGTAGAAGACTTAGAAAATTCTCAAAACCTTTTTAAGGTGAATGAGAAATTAATTCTAAGTGTTATATGTTAATTAATTGAGTTCAAATAACTCAAAGGTTGTAGGGTTCACAAACATTCTGTTTTGACAAATGTTTGGACGAACTAAAAAGCCATAATTATGCATTATGTATGCTAGAATTGTAGAAGGGCTCGTTGGGGATAAGTAGGAAAAAATGGAACTCGATTCCAAGTCCGTATGAGCTCGTACGAGCCCGCCGCGCATGGGCGCGCAACTGGCTGCGGAAATCAAAGCGTCGCAACCCTTGGTGACCATAAGGTATCTTTTGGCCACTAGATGCATCCGCTCTCGTTCGGGGACGTCCCAAAAGGTGTCTTTTGACACTTAAACCTCTTGGAGGTGTTTCCCTACATCTATAAATACTCACATACTTGAAATCATTAATTATGAAAATTAGAGAGCTCTTGCATTAGTTTTCAAAGATCATATAGCATAGTGCGTTCTTTGATTTTTTCATTGAGTCTTGAGAGTTCCAAACAATAGTAGTGTTCGCCAAAGGCTTGTATATTTGAAGTACCATTATATACAAGTCGAAAGTCGTTGTATCTTGGAGGCGTTTGCCGTTAACCGTGGGTATTTGACGGGACAATTTAGTCTTAAGGAGAACGTAATTATTACGTGCCTCGACTTTGATTTTTGTTTCATTTTCTTCATTCTCCTTAAGCCGTCTTTGATATTCACAAACCACACAAATATACTACAAATATTGAATTGAGAGAACAGGTTGTACACGATGTTGACTTGAGAGAGAGAGCATAATGGTGACTTGAGAGAGAACATAATGGTTGGATTGGACGAGTCGACTCATCATATTTGATTTGTAACATATATATTTAGATCTGAAAGTATGCATATTTGTTAAAAAAATTATAGCACTATTATGGTTAAGGCTATCTAACAGTAAACATACCAGAGATAGAGGCATTATTCACACACTTACAAATGTATGGTGTTCTTAAAGTTAGGCATATCAAACAACTAATTGTTGTACCGGAGAGATGCATCTGCATTCTGCACAGTCAAAAACCTTAAATGCAAACAAACCATAAATAGAGAACGTCCTTGCAATGCATGAACCTATAAATACAAATCACACCCCAAAAATTAAATTACTTAATAGGAACTCTTCAAAATCCAGCGATTCCTTGGCGGCACGACTTCACTGCCATTACCTCTCAATCCCAAAACTTGCCCAGAAGCCGAAAATGGGTCCGTATACAGACCAAAATACGAAACCAGAGGCTCAGCACGACTCTTAACAACAACAAACCTCAATCGCCTACTATTTACACTAGGAAACAACACCAACAGCCTTTTGTACCCAACAGTCGTCCCATTAGCCCCCACCTCCCACTCCCCATCCCCATTCACGAAATCGAGACGAAACTCAATAATCCTCTGGCCCATCTGGATCGGCTCTTGCACCATCACGACATTAAATTCAACAGCCTCATCAAAATCAAGATACAAAGCCCAGCCCGATGATGACGATGATGCTGGCCCACTTGCTGGAGCCCAGTACGAATCCACACTTTCATCAAGAATGTTAACTGGGCTGTAAAGAGATTCGTTTATACTGCCTCGGGTGCTGCTGGCAGAAACCGTGGCAACTCTGGCTAGGTTGTTGGAAAATATGGAGGTTCGCATTTTGGTGAATTCTTGAAGGACGAGAATGTCTTCTTGCGCAATGAGGCCCGAGGAATTTGGGGGCACATTTAGTAAGAGGAGGCAGTTTCGGCCCACGGATTTGTAGTATAGGTCGAGGAGAGCGAGTGCAGGCTTTGGGGATTCGTACGGGTGCCAGAACCATCCAGGCCGAATTGAGACGTCGCATTCGGCGGGTATCCAGTCGTGGCCTAACGGGTCCCCTTGTCCGGAATATCTACACAGATCAGAGCATTATACTGGGGATAATCGAAATATATTAGGCAAAATTGCATATTAATACACCACCTTTCACGTTTTTTGCAATTTAATCACCAAATTTTAAATTTGCAATTTAATACACCACATTTACCACTTTTGCAAATCGATACATGAATGATGGTTCCGTTAACAGAAATGTAACGGAAATCTGACATGGCATTAAGCCACGTCAATGTCATGTCAGATTTTTGTTAACGGAACCGTCATTCATGTATTGATTTGCAAAACTGGTAACGGTGGTGTATTGATTTACAAAATTTCAAAGGTGGTGATTATATTGCAAAAACATGAAAGGTGGTGTATTAATATGCAATTTTGCCAATATATTAATAAGAAATAACGAGGTTTGGGTTGACTACAAAAAATTCCTGGGATGTTTGTAAATATTAGAAGAAAATTCTGGGTTGAAAGTTGAAACTTTTTTTTTTCCTGGGTTGTTCTGCTACCTGGGATATTGGAATATTAAGATTGCCAAAAGATAGGTGCATTGTGTAATAAAAATATAGCTAAATCAGAACTATCTCCAAATGTATCATCTGCGCAGCCGCAAACTTGTTTTTTAAAAATATTTTGATAATCACACCTCGGAGTGTTCTTTACGCGTTCATGAGAAAAGGAAAGATAACAAAATAAACAGCAGTCATGTGTGTCAGCTTAGTTAAGGTACTTAAGGAAGCATCCCAATAAGCTCTTTTCTACTGCCACTACAATGCAGAACGTCATGTTATCAGTGGACAATCTAGTAAACACATTAATACAATAACATGTGGAAAGCTCGTCCTACAGCGCTCAGGAACAGGGTTTAACCTCGAATGCAAGTAGGCAATTAGAATAAGAATCATCTCCAGACTCCCATCCATAAAACATAAAAGGAAAAAAAAAAAAAAAGCTAGCTTGAATTTACAACGGCTAAATATAAATATAATTCATTGGGACTTGAGAGGAGGCATCATATATGAAAAGTTTTTCATTTATACAATATGCAGCTTCAAGCTGTAAAAACGTGCCCATTCACCTATAGATTTGCATTTCCGAAAATGTGCAGTAAACTTATGAAAAAAAAAATAATGATGGACTTACGCAGGATCTGTGCCGCCAATTTTGGCATTACTCTGATTGAAGAGAGACCAGCAAGTTGTCCCAGAAAATCCAGCCTCATCCCCAACCCACCTCACATCTGGCCCTGCATCCGAAAATATGACGGCCCCTGCTTGAAGTTGATGAATTACATTAAACCAATCATCGAAGAAGTACTCCATGTACTTCTCTCCTTCCCCTTTTGCACCATCTAGCCAAACCTCTTTGACTTCACCATATCTGTGTGTGACCAGGAAAATAAAAGCAATCGATTATCATGTTCTATACAAGTGAGTCTTGTTTACTATACATGGCAAAATAGACTGTTTGGTGTACATCCAAACAATCGAAGTCAAATTGCAAATATCAGATATCCCCAATACTTGAAGTAGAATATTGATCTTCCAGTAGCAGGCAACTGCCTTTGTCACAGTTAAAGTCAAAATCATCACTTCTTTCATGCAGTAGCCATTAGATTTATTGAAAACATAATGATTGAGTTCTGCTTTAACAAAAAGATTAAGTAATGCCAAAGCTACGGTCTAAAAAGTGTGTTGTCATTTAGATCTATAAACTATACCCAAAATAGTAAGATAAAACTTAACTGCCCAAGCTCAAACTACAAGCCAGAACCACTTCATAGCAGCAAAATCAATTTTCTAGCTATAGTTCCCACTTTATAGTAACAGCTCAAACATAAAAATAAAATTCAGCGACACAGTCAAATCATCCCTAGCCAGCCACAAAAATACACAAACAAGTTCACATCAAACCGAAAAAACAGCAAGATTCAAATATGAACTCTTAAAAGCACCCACACAAGACAGGCACACAATAAGTAGACCTGGTAAGCAATTCGGTCATCTGGCCCAAATAATACTCGTTGTACTCAAGCGTCTTCCCGTAGCAGGACTCATGCCTGTCCCAGGGAGAGAGATAGAGGCCCAATTGAACGCCATTAGCTCTCGCAGCTTCAGCCAATTCCTTGACAACATCGCCGGTCCCATTCCTCCACGGGCTCGACCTCACCGAATAATCTGTGTACTGCGAAGGCCACAAGCAAAACCCGTCATGGTGCTTCGTAGTCAAGATGACTCTGGAAAAACCTGCGTCCTTGGCCACATTTACCCACTGCGTGGCGTTGACGGCGTCCGGGTCGAAAACCGAAGGGTCCGCGTGGCCCGTGCCCCATTCTGAATTAGTGAAAGTGTTGGGGCCGAAGTGAAAAAAAAGGGCCATCTCCGCGAGCTGCCATGAGAGCTGGTGTGAGGTTGGGATTGGTAGTATCGGGAGTGGGGGCGGGGTCGGGCGGGAGGCCGAGATATTGGACTGAGATTTTGAGGAGTGGATTGTGGTGATGAGGAAGAGGGCTAGAATGTAATTTTGAAGGAGTTTGGGGCTTTTTCGGTTAATATCTGCTGTTTTGCTGGTCATTTTTTTTTTTCCGGTTATTCTTTGAAAGGCCGAAGGCTGGAGCTAGCTATGAGGCGAGGCTTTGGGTTGAACAAAAAAACAAATTCTCCTACCAACGAAACTTGCTCTTTCCTTTTGGTTTTTTTTATATGTTTTTTTTTTATAATAATTCCCATTATTTTCGATCAATTTTGTTTCTTGTTTTGTTTTTCTTAATTAAACTTGAATGATGTATTTTTTTTATTTATAATAATAAATTATTTTGGGTGTGTATCTTTTGATATGCCTCTCTAATTGTTGGTTGACTTTGAAGCTTATCAAAATACCAGTAGTTATGAGTCGTCCTCATAAACTTGGTGGTCGATTACGACTTTTTTATTTATTTTAAATTTTAAATCAGTAGTTTCATAATTTTATAGTACAAATATACAAAAAAGTGAAAAAAATATGGATGCATGGACTATTACCAACGTGATTATAAAATAGGGGTGGTATCGGTTCTGTAAGCATATACCGATACCGAACCGAGAATGTCGGTAACATCGAAATGCAAAATCGATACCGAACAGATTAAAATTGATTACCGAATTTTCAGTAACCGAAAACTCGGTTCGATTTCGATTTTAAAATAGGGTCGCGCTCACATGAGAATGGTGCTTAATGCGAGAAAATGAGAATAAATTTTAGCCATCAGATAGGATGATCTAATGACTAATAAAAAAGTCAAATCTATACTTTCATTAAGGATATTTTAGTCATTATATTACACATTACCATTCACATGCCACATCAAGCCTTGCCTACTTATGTGATGTCTTGCTTTAGGCTCCCTGTATCTGTCTGTCACAATATTTGCAGGGAAATTGCTAAATTTTGGTGGGGCTCTGGTTCTTCTGAGAAAAAGCAGCAAAAAATTCATTGGTGTGGGTGGGATGTGTTATCTAGGTCTAAAGAGTTTGGTGGTATGGGGTTTAGGAATTTTAAGGTTTTTAATGAAACTCTACTGACTAAACAACTGTGGAGGATCATTACTAAACCTAATTTGCTTGTGAGTAGATTGTTGAAGGGTAAATATTTCTGGAACAAGAAAATCTTTGAGGTGTCTGCTAGAAGCTCTGACTCTTGGCTTTGGAAGAGTTGGCTCCATGCTAGAAAATCTCTAAAATTGGGGCTGAGATATGTGGTTGGTAATGGTAAGTCTATAGATGTGTGGGAGTCTCCTTGGGTTCCTCATCCTTCTAAATTCTGCCCTACTGTTCAGTTTGCTAGTGATAAGATGAGATTCAAAAAAGTTTGTGAGCTGTTCAAGAGTAATAAAATTGAGTGGGATGAGGAGCTAGTGAGTCAAACCTTCTGCCCTGAAGAAGCTGCACTTATCTTAAATATTCCTATCAGCCATGCAGATGCTCATGACAGGTTAATCTGGCACTGGCACCCTAAAGGATTGTTCTGTGTAAAAGAAGTCTACAAAGTACTGCTTGAGCAACATAGACAGTCTCA